ACAAGACTTTTCCTCTGTGAAAGAGAATTTCGGATTGAACAAACAATGTGCTATTGTTTGATATAGCAGGTGGCTATGTTTGAAACATAACAAGGTCAGATTTTTGCAGAACTTTTCACATCCTTTTTTTGTGCTTTTTTTTTTTTCCCTAAAGCATAGTCTGGACATCTGTAGCTTTATTTACGTACTGCAAATAAACATTAGCAGCTTTGTAGTTGATAACAACTTCACAACTAACATCAAGTCAAATATGTTTAACTTAAATTTTGTTCATTGAACAGATTTTTCTAATTCTAGTAAATATCACCAGCTTTCGTTTTTATATTTCCACTCTGCCATGAATTTAAACACAACTTTCTCTCCCCAGAGGGCCTTATGATGACAAAAAGAGGAATTAAAAGTTATAGCTTTCTCTTTCATTTGACAGTTTATGGCGCCTTTGCAAACAAAACAGAAGTTCGGTTTTTTGTAACAGATGTTTTAGCTTTTCAGACTATGTGCTGCCCATCTGCTAACTTTCCATTTGTTTCCAGCAACTGAAGATACAATCTGCACTGTAACTCTAGAAAAAACACCTGCCGGTTTAGGATTCAGTCTGGAAGGAGGGAAGGGCTCTATTCATGGAGATAAACCCATCGTCATCAACAGGATATTTAAAGGTAAACACACTGAAATGCGTACACGGCAGGTTCTCAGCTGATGCAAACTTGTGCAGTTCATAACTGACTGCTGATTTATACCCATGAAAATGGTATTTTTTGTAAATGCAGCATTATCCTGTGCAGTGCCAGTAATTTGTTGCCTGCTGAGACCGGGTGGTTTATACCAAACATGCTGGTGATTCCTTAATAAGCGAAAGATACATCAAAGACTCCTCCACACACAGAATTAAAGGAAATTCATTTTCTTTCTCCAGGGACCGCATTAGAACAAAGCAGCCCCGTTCAGCCTGGTGATGAGCTATTACAAGTGCACACAACTGCCATGCAAGGACTCACTCGTTTTGAAGCGTGGAATATAATCAAGGCATTACCTGATGGGCCCATCACAGCTATCATCAAGAGGAAGAATCCAAGCGCTGTTACCACCAAGTCATCTGAAACTTTGTAAGAGAAGGAATTAGACTACTGTCAATATTACGAACAAAAAAGGATTTTATTACTTGCAGCCATTTGGCTAGCACAGCAAGATACTCAGAAAGCGCATGTGAAAAGTACATGTGATCTCACTGCCAGTTACAGAGCAAGCTGTCCGGGATAAAATAAGATGTGCACAAAATGTGCATGATTCTTATTTCAACATTCAGAAACAGATGTTACAAAGCGTAGAATTATAAAATAATGACTTTATTAATAATATACTGGTTGTAATAAAATATGACAGCTATAGTACTTGCCTATTTTAAGCCATTAACTTAACAAATACCAGAAGCGCATTCTGTGTTAAGTTTTCAGTCCTACTCTACAAATCTTGCTCCCTGCCTTACCTTCCCAGGAGGAAGAAATGTGTCTACAAGCCTACAACTAAACACTGCAGCAAAGGAAAAGCCTTAGAGAATGTGTAAAGGGCAGAGAAAGGGGGGTGCAACTTTGTGTGTCAAAACGACAACGTCCCCTGGAAAACTCCAGCTTTTCTATTCAAACCACAGAACAGCCAGAACAGCCAAAACCCATCTGGGGTAACTTTCTACTAGCAGCTGACAGAGCCATCTCAACTCCAGCAGGCAAACACGGGGCAGGGGGGGAAGGAGTGTCTCGCGGTATTGCAAGGGTGAGGCAGGAAGCTGACGGTTAATAAGGTGGAGGTTTTTCTAACCTTCCTCTGGCCAGAGGTCTCAGAGGACTAGAGCAGGAGGGTAACAAGGCCATTTAGAACCAAGTCTTACCTTCTAACCACACATATTTTTTTGAAATGTCTGTGTGTTAATTTTGTAAGGGAAAGTACCGGTGCAAGTATTTGGGAATTAAAAGTTCTGAATCCAAATGCTTATTCTGGAGACACTAAATAACTTGGAGACAAAGCTATGCTTCAAACGCTTCTGTCGGCATTTTGGCAGTGCTCTCTAAGCACCATATGGAGTTCTACCAGCAGCAGCATGTGCATCTACGGCAAGATGGTCTTGTGCACCCATTTGGTCTTCTCTGAGCTACTTCACTAAAGGGAGAGGTGCAACATCAGGGTGGAAGTAGTGACTCACCAGCTGAAAGCCAGATGCCTGCGCTGGTTATTGTCCTTGGCTGTTCACCTTCCCATAGTCGGGAATTTGCTGCACCCTTCTTCGGTTACTTAATTTCACCAAACCATAAACTGCAGGAGTTCAGAAGCTATTTTCTGTGCACTTAACACAATGTCACAGAAACAGCAATTGAGAGAAAGGGAAGTAGGATAGACAGCAGAAGGTACTAATTGAATCCAGGCATACAGCTTGCTTTGGCCTTTCCTCACGAGTCAACTCTATGTTAATCCTTGAAAGAACATTCTTGACAAGCCATCTGCCCTCACGCTTCCAAACCCCTTCCCAAGTGAGTTGTCTTTTCTGAAAACCAACCGAACAATCCTCAAAACAAAATTTCTGTGAAGTGGGTGGCAACCAGGATAGGAGAAAAATGAGAGGGAATCTTTTTGTACATTTTTTTTTAACTTGTACCTACCTGAAACACTCTGAATAGCTCATTTTTTTTTAGAACTCCTTGTATTTAACTTAATCTGCATTATTGGCTTAGGCTTAACAAAGTCTAAGTAAATGTCTAGTGCATATAAAAGATTCTAAGATTTTTCAACCGCTTGCCCATACCACCAATAATAGGAAAAACACAAATGATTTCTGTACAGAAAAGCAGGCCTGAACTCTTTAGCACCGTTCAAGCTATTTCCTATAAAAGGCAGATCATACTTTTTGCTCACCTTCGTAACTTTAACAACAGAGACTGGACTCAATACAGCCATGGCACAGAATGCCTTAGTTACTTCAATGCCATCTGCTGAAGGTGTCCTCACCTGAAATAGCTATTTAATTTCATCAATTTAAGAACTGATGCAGAACTGCCAAGACAGGTTTGATCTCGCTTTTTTCCAGAGGTGCTCTTCTCACTTCACTTCCAAAGTTTTTCACTTTTTGCGTGCCTCTGCATCTGCCAAGATCAAAAGAAGTCAAAACATGCTGTGCGACAGGCAGCATGTCTCACTGGGGAGTCCTCCAAGATCTTGCAAGATGATCTTTGCCCAGACATTTCCATCTCCAATTTGGCAGGGCAGAAGGCTGAACGTTAAGGGCTCTTAATTCCTTCCGGATAGAAGGTGTTGAGCACTCGGAAAAGGGATCCTGAAGTTATTCCAAGGAAGAGCCTCACCTACCACCTTCATTGCTCAGAGCAATTAAAAAAAAAAAGCTAATAAAAAGCCCCGTTGTCTGTAAAAGGTTTACTTGCAGGAATAACGAGTGGTGACCTGAGCTCTGCTCCTTGAACTTTTTGCTAATTAAATTAATCATAATCCTGCAAAGACTTGCCGAGATATTGAACTTCATGCCTAACAACGTTAGTACATTTAGGTAAGTATGTATGAGCCTCTGTAATATCAGGGCCCAAATCTCTCCTCAGTGAATTTGTTACTCTTAAGTACAGAAAGCAGCGATCTAAATTGGAAATAAGGACCAGCCAAGGGCAAAGAAGTTGGGAGAGTGAGTGCTCTCACCAAACACCTTTATTCCCAGTTAGCGGGAAGCGTAAATGGGAGTGAAGGCTTTTCCCTGCCTTGTTGCCTTGAATTCATAGAGGTGCTGGAGGTCCAAGTGGCTCTTATGCTTCCTTGTTGACAAAGCAGGTGCGTGAGGAACCATTTTAAAGGATGATCCAGGAAAAACAGCAAGATGTAGCAGAAAAGTATTTATTACATCACACTCGTACAAGTTTTTACATCTTTGTACACAAAGGAGACTAGATTAAAAACGGATTCCTTGAAAAATCTATTCCATAGGGTGAGATTTATAGTGGGAAACTTTGTATGCAAGTCCATGCCCTACGCTAAATATAAAATAAATACAGGGACAGAAAGCAGAGCATATTAACCTTGTTAAATAATCGAGTTACAGCATTAAAATCACAACCTGCATTTAAATTCCTAATTCAGCAAACAGTTTTCCTTTTGTAAGTGTATGTAATCCATAGTAACGTCTGACATTCCTGCAGTAACCAGCACCATAAATATTTTCTAAAACTGGACACACCACTGCACACAAGATCAGAAGCTGATTTCCCAAAACAGTGCTGTGAGGCAAAGCAGTCTTACAGAAAAAGCAATGTCCTTACGGCCTGTCAAGTCAAGACTAAGCTACAGAAAAGATTATTTACCCGTTAAAACCTCTCACCACAAGAGACCGAAAAACATTCAAATACAGTTAAAAACGGTCATTTCAAGTGCTGTTTTAAAAATGGCATGTAAAGTGTTTAATCCTCTTTATTTATTGCCACTATGTCAGTGCAGTTTGTTTCACGACATTGTGGAAATCACTGGTTTTGGTACAGAGGGGAGAAAGGAATTGTGCCTATTTGCCAACCCACAGGCCTATGAACTGATTCGCACTGCTAGACCTGGATGGCTTGGACCCACTGAAGCATCTCAGCAGCTCTACGAGTGCTGGCAGCAAAAGAGCTACCTCTTATTTTGGGGAAGGAACGTTGTTCCACAGGAGTCTACGGGGAGCTTCAGAGACAAAACAGGGCTGGCCTGCACCTGGCTAATGCTGTAGTGCTACGTGGATTTTAGCAATGCTCCTCCTCACAGACACTGACAAAGTGTGGCCAAGAACAGATCTAGTACGCGCATCTTCTCTCCGCAGATGGCCCCCAGAGCTGCCTCAGGGATTCTTCCAGCCTCTGGTGTGATATTTTTCTAATTACGAAAATGAAGGATATCGTATCAGAATAGAAAGTATTGCTTTGCATAGAGATAGATAAAAAACGCCATTTAAAAAATTTACTTTTCTCAATTCATTGTTCCCCTTTCACCTTTCATAAGTATCTTTGCTGGTAGTAAAGTCCTGTAAGGCCAACTTCCTATTTCTACCCTCAAGCTGCCAGGTTTTTTCCTACCCTCAGCTGGTGATGTCAGGAACCGGTCTTGTCACGCTTTTAATGCCTTAACAGCTTTGGTCAGGTTGCTGTAAAATCCAGCTATGCTAGCTGGAAAGAAGGAATCCACCACCGCCTGGGGAAGATAGCCACCGAGATCAGTCTGAAAGAAACTGAGGAGTTGAGTCCTGTCTGGCTCCCTGCAAAGACAACGCAAGTGATTTTACAGCCAGCGGTTTAAAAGCATTAAGAACTTTACAATGACTCTTACATGTATTGTCTGATGATAGATATTTATAAGTACTTTTTTTTTTTCTTCAAACAAACCACAGACATTAATTCCAAATTTCAATGACCATGGCTATCCCCACAAGTCAAATTACAGTTAAACTAGGCCCTAATTAGGTACATGACTGTTTATGAATTATGGCAATGTAATAAACAACCGGATACTCATTTATAAAAAATTCAGTCCGCACTTGTACGTTCTGCTGAATCTCTGCTTAAGAGGTCAGCGAGAATCCTACCATGATGATGGTTCCTGTAACATTAAAGACTTCCCGCTAGGAAATGAAGAGAGACTAATTCATTGCACAAAAAAGAGAACAAAAAGGGCACTCAGTCATGATGATTACCAGTCAAAGGAAGACAGAAACGTGTTATTGTCAAGAGGCTACAGATCACATGTGGCCATATACACATAAACACACCACACAATACCACACAATAGATAAGAAGGGGTTTAGAATAACAAAGAATCAAATAGATCGCTTCTTACCCTGGAAGAGGTATACAGAAACAGCCACACGGATAATTAAAACCTCTCACGAAATTTGGTTGAGGAGGACACAGCGGGTGTTCCGCATTGGTGGCTGTAAGAAAAAGCGTTCCGGAAAAATGTCATTTTCACAGAAGA